ATTTTTGCATAGACTAAAGTACAAGGAAGTGAAAATCATTAACAGGCAATCGTTCGATGGGCTGGACTGCACAAAACGCATGGTCGCACCGGCTAGCCTGGTGCGCGTTGCCATTTATTTATCTTTATGCGTTTTTTGCAGCAATGCAATGCGAAAAACGCATATTGACGACAGGTTGTCTGTGTGTCCGCTTGTCTGTGCATTTGTGTGTCCGCGTGTCTGTGCGTCTATGTGTCTGTGTGTGCGTCTGTCACGCACTTTCATCTCAGGACCTACAAAAGCTGCGGGGCTGAGATCTCAGGAACTTCATCTACATGCACGTACCGCCCTCATTCCCCAAAATGGGCGCCAAAACCCGCGTGGTACCCGCGTACGGGCCCGCCAGAGTTTTTTTGGGGCCAGTTCATAACTCGAGGATCTGAGAAGCTAGAACGCTGAAATCTTGGGATAATGTTCCCCGCTCAACCAGGTATTAGTGGGCTCAAACCCACCACCCGGGTAAGCGTGGTACCCGCGTACGAGCTCGCCAAAATTTTTTTCGGGTAAGTTCATAACTCGGGGATCTGAAAAGCTAGAAGGCTGAAATCTTGGGGTAGTGTTCCCCGCCCAAGCGGGTATTAGTGGGCTTAAACCCAGTCTCCGGGTAAGCGTAGTACCCGCGTACGAGGCCGCCAAAATCTTGTTCGCGTAAATTAATAACTCAATTACCTGAGAAGTGAGGATATACCCCGTCCACCTAAGTTTCATTCAGCTCGAACCCAGCTCTCAGGCATGCTTGGTAAAAATGCACTGGCCCGTGAAAATTTTGTTCCAGTAAGTTGCTAACTCAGGGGCCACGGAAGCTAGAAAGCTGAAATTTTAGGGGGATACTTCCCGACAGTTCTGGCGGCCAGTCTTAGTTTATTTAGCTGGAAGCATTTGCCGAAAAAACCACAAAAACTGCGGGGAACCATGCAAAAAACGCATCTTCGCACGGGCAGCCCGTGCGTTGGCCAGTTATTGTTTTTTGCTTTTATAAAAAGCCGCCGTTTCCAGAGAGCACTAGAAATGTCGGCAGACGCGTTCAAAGATCAAAACGAGAAGGAGAAAGCACGGAAATTGCGCCCTTCGGTACCGTTATATCGCCCAAAGATGCTACGGACAGCAACTACGGATAAAGCTGCGAGCAGGGAGCCGACCAGGCAGCAGCAGCAGCAGCAGCCGGCAGCCACATCATACCCACCGAAGAACGGTTGGCATTTTTTTTTTTGGATGAGAGGGAGGGGGAGGGGAATTTAAATTTTATCTTAAGATTTGCACGCTTTTCCTGGGATAGATGCATTTTGTCACATAATGATTTATT